AGCTCCTTGCTGCATCTTGAGATTGAATAGCTTCTTCATCAGGTACACCTTATTTGAAGCAGACGGCTTCTCATACAGCGCCTCCAAGGCCTCCATCAACTCCTTGGTGGTGGTCGCATACGAGACGTTGTAAGTCACATGCTGGTGAAGGTTGAGCCTGATGCTGGCAAGTGCTTTACGATCGAGCACCTTCCACTTATCGTCGTCCATCTTCTTAGGTTTTCCCGCCTCTCCTTGGAGGGGTTGGAAGAGATCCTTCTGGTACAAATAGTCTTCTATTTGCATCCTCCAATACCTAAAATTTTGGCCGCCGAACTTCTCAATTCGAAGCCTGTTGTCTTCAACTGTAGATCCCATGGCGAAAGATTACGTCTTTCCCGTATTTGTGAATAGTACCGTATTCATGAATAATACTGTATTCGTGAATAGTACCATATTCGTGAATAGTACCGTACACGTGAATAGTATCGTACACGTGAATAGTGTCCAATGCCTTAAAAGAGTAAATATTAATCTAACTTATTTTCTGATGTGGAGGATCCACTTTTAGTGGCAGCCATAGAGCATACGATAAGCAGATATATATACTCTAAGTCAGGCTCTGATACCAGTTGTTAGGATACACCCCAATAAGAACGCCTCTAACGGAGACGCAATACACAAAATAAAGGCACAAGATCAACCAGAGTACTCACAGATATACGTGGTTCACTCCTTCGGAGCTACTCTACGGTGTAACGACGACGCCAAATTCTTTTATATCCCAAAAGAATAGATCAAAGAGAACACCCTCTCTTGATCAGATACACTCCAAAAACTCTCACAAACTCTCTCTGTGTTTTCTCTCTTACTCTTCTATAAGAGGAGTTGTTTCTGGGATGAGATTTCCTTAAGAGTTTAGGGCCCTATTTATAGTGTTTGGGAAATACTATGCACAAATAAAATATTATCAGTGGGACTCGCCACTAATAATAAAATATTTGTGAGACCCACATCCTTTATAATTCTTCAAATAAAACGGCCATCACTTTTTGATTTTGTCAAAAAGTGAACTCCTTTGTCAAAAAGGGTAGGCAGAGCTTTCGGCTAACAATTTCTTTTCTTCACCTCCATCCTTTGAGGATTTATTTCTTTATTAACACAACGCGGAATTAAAAAATCACAGAATTCATCAAGGGTGCTTATTGAATCCACAAACATCATTCTCCAAGTCCACGAAGAACTTCTAATCCATGAATCAAAAAATAAAAAATAAAAGAATTTTTATTGATGAAATGTTATGTCTCTTAGGCTTACGGTACTATGCTTAAATAGAAAACAAATAAGACTACTGCTAAGATCAGAACTATAAAAAATAAAAAGTATCAAATCCTACCTAAAAGACGCTCTATAATAAAGTAAAAAAAATCAGCCAACATGAATCAAAGTCGAATTTATTTCATAATCTCTCCAACTTTATTACTAAAAATAAGCTAAATATTAACTATTTTGGATTTCTGTTAAAATTGATGACACCAATGAGATTTGACAATCCTATTGGCTTCGTCTCATCAAGATAGACAATTTACATATATAATGTGTAAGAATCCACCTTCCCGAGTGAAAGATATATATATTTTTTTGTGAAAGTCAATAATATATATGTATTTGCATTTAGCTTGTAATTGTCCCGCTCCTCCATAAAATTATCCATTAAATATCATAAGTCTCCCTTTGTTTGAAAGAAGCTTGACCCTGAACTTATATTTTCTTGAATTGTAGCTACATCGATAAACATTTTTCTTCTCCTGCATCAATAAGCATTCACTTTGTACTTAGCATTGATGTTCTCTATCTGCTGTTTTACCTCCTTGGCTAGATATTATTTCTGAATTAGATTTTGAATGAATTTTTCCCACATCATTGTTTTGTGACTGACGACATGTGGATCTACACGTAACTAGGAAAACTCCTCTAAATCCTTTTCTTGTTGCCTTTTATATTCTTGTACCTAAAGTTTCATTTCAATGTTGTCGAAAATCATTAACACTCTTTGTTTTAAAAGAAGAATTTCTCTTATATTCCATCTCCTCTATTTTAGGCTCTCCACTAAGCAAGTTACACATATGACTAATCGTATTTTTTATTTTACTCTTCTATACCAGAATAACATCAGCTGGTGTTACATCATTCACAATAGCTCCGAGAATTTCATGAATAATTTCCAAATTTACTTGCATATCATCATCAAAATCAGGGATCTTAGTTGCAACAAGAGGCTTGTACTTCAAGAGTTATCTCGAAGGCAACATGATCTTCCTTTTTTGTTGCAACTAGACCATTGACCTCTTCAGATAGATTTGAAGTCTTTTATGAAAGCTTCACTGTCAATAATAAAAAAGTCTTCTTTTCAGCAACATCCATCTTTGATGGCACCATTTTTGTAAGAGGCATGAGCACAACTCGACATTCGTCTTTTTTAAAGATATAAGCATTGTCTCTGCTCCTATGTGTGGCACCAACATTGAACTGTCATGGCCTACCTAAAATATATGACAAGTATCCATTTCGATCACATAACACAATACCTCATCGACATAGTTGCGGCTGATAGAAAAACATACCTAACATGCCTCGTCGATTTGCACATCATTGCCCTTGCAAATCTAGTCAATCTTGTAGGGAAGTGAGTGTTTCTCTATCTTCATACCTGATTTATACACCAACTGCTGAGAGATAAGATTCTTTCTATTGCCACTGTTAATGATAACATCATAAATCTTTTTGCATCACAGTGCATCTCATGTGGAAGATATTGTGCTATGAAGGTTGTTTTTTTTCTTTATTCCTTCTTCAGTGCTCTTCCAAACTCCAACGTCTTGCTTAGGGTCAAGCTGGGGCTCCTTAATCCTTCCATAACCATAGTTAGAGCGTGAACTTGGATGTCGGTTGAATACACAATAATAGATATGAAGAAAACAAGCTTTCAACAATTCCTTCATTTTCGCCCATGATTAAATTTTTTTGCTTCTACAGACCAGCTCGATCGTCTCATCATGATGAACTTACTGCTTTGTTAGTAGTCACAAATACACGTTTGTTATTAAATAAAAGAAATTGTACGGATATGATCCTAACGTACATGAAACTTGAGAACGAAGGGCTATTTCATTAATTCGAGGGAGTAATTCAAAATATTAAGGGAAAAATGCTTCCAGCCCCCAAAACCCAAGAAAACATGCTCCCCCCTCCCTCCCCAAGACTTTGTCAACGGGTACTTTGCCCCCAAAAATAAAGATTTTGTTCTCTGAGCCCCCAAAACACAAAACCTAAGAGATTAAAATATGTGAAGACCATAATACCCTTCTCTCTCTCTCTTATTTATCATGATGCTACTGAGATGATTGATGGAGATTGTTATTTTATTATTTTTATTTTTTATTATTTTCATTGTTTATGAGGAGAACTAACTGTTTGTATTGAGAGATTGTTAAAGTTATGGGTTAATTGTTAAGGTTACGAGTTAATTATTAAGGTTACGGGTCAATTGTTAAGGTTGTGGATCACTTCTCTCTCTCTCTCTCTCTCTCTCTCTCTCTCTATATATATATAATTATTAATGATACGGGTCAGTTGTTAAGGTTATGGATCGGTTGTTAAGGTTACGGGTTAGTTGTTAAGGTTATGGGTCGATTGTTAAGGTTACGGGTTGGTTGTGAAGGTTACACGTTGGGATATATATGTATATATATTTTGAGTGGAATGAATACTTTGGGTCACTTGGCCTAGTGGTAAAGTTTGGGAGTTTGGACAAGAGGTTAGGGGTACAGCCACAATATTTTTAGTTGTTAAAGTTATACTTTGGTTATTAAGGTTACGGGTCGGTTGTTAAGGTTACGGGTTCGTTGTTAAGGATAAAGGTTGGTTGTGAAGGTTATGCATTGGTTGTGAAGGTTACGGGTTGGTTATTAAGGTTACGAGTTGGTTGTTAAGGTTAACTTCACAACCAAAGTGTAACATTCACAACAAACGCATATCTTTAACAACAAACATGTAACCTACATAACAAACCCATAACCTTAACAAACAACCCGTAACCTTAACAACCAACTCGTAACCTTCACAACCAATGCATAATCTTCACAACGAACCATTATCCTTAATATTCTAAAAATATTGTGGTTGTAGGGGTTTTTGAACCCCTAACCTCTTGTCCAAACTTCCAAACTTTACCACTAGGCCAAGTGACCCAAAGTATTCATTCCACTTAAAATATATATACATATATATCCCAACGTGTAACCTTCACAATCAACCCGTAATCTTAACAACCGATCCATAACCTTAACAACTAACCCGTAACCTTAACAACCGATCCATAACCTTAACAACTGACCCGTATCATTAACAACTGACCCGTAACCTTAATAATTAACCCGTAAACATTAACAATTAACCCGTAACATTGAAAATCTCCCAATATAAACAAAAACAATTAGTTTCCTCATCAACAATGAAAATAATAAAATAGCAATCCCCATCAATCATTTCAGTAACATCATGATAAAGAGAGAGAGAGAGAGAGAGAGAGAGAGAGAAGGAATCCATAACCTTAACAATTGACCCGTAACCTTAACAATTAACTCGTAACCTTAACAATTAACCCGTAACTTTAACAATCTCCCAATATAAACAGTTAGTTCTCCTCATAAATAACAAATATAATAAAATAACAATCCCCATCAATCATCTCAGTAGCATCATGATAAAGAGAGAGAATGGTATTATGCTTTTCACATATTTTAATCTTTTGGGTTTTGTGTTTTGGGGCTAAGAGAACAAAATCTTTATTTTTTGAGGCAAAGTACCCGTTGACAAAGTCTTGAGTGAGCACGTTTTCTTGGGTTTTGGGGGCCGGAAGCATTTTCCCCAAATATTAAAGATATAAGTGGCTAACATCTTAAAAAAAAAAGGAAAAAAGGGCTTTTTTGTTTTTAAGGTAAAAACTGTATATTTCGTCGGTCAACAGAACTTCAAATGTTTGTTTTAAAGCGCGGCGGAGATCTCTACAGTCTCTCTCTGCTTGTTGACGGAGCCTCCAAATCTCCGATCAAATTCTCTCTTTGATCTCTCTCTCTGTCTCATGGCCGCCTCCGTATCCTTCTCCTCATCCTCCGTCTTCAGCCTCAACCCGATACTCTCCGCTGCACCGCGCAGCACCCCACCGCTCCTCAACGCTGTTCCGGTCACCCCCCGCTACCCTCACCTCCGCTCCTCCCTCAGATCTTCCAATGTTCCCCCCACTTTCCCCGGTAACTGATCAATCCCTTTTTCTCTTTTCTCCATTTTCTATATTAAGCTGCGTTTAATCGTGATTTACGAAAATCAGAACATGGGTTTTTTTATATAAAAAAAAAAGGTTTTGCCTTGGTTTACTTTTGGATATAAACGAGATTATATTTTATCTGTGTGCATCTCTTGATTATTTTCTATATTAGGCTGTTTTTTTATCGAGAAATTGAGATATTAGAAAATGGGTAAAAGAAGATTGGATTGGTATACTTGGATAAAATTGAGAGTGTGATTCAACTGTGAGTAACTGCTCCGGTTGTGTTAGTTCTGAGTATCTGCATTGGTCCAAGTCGCTTCCGACAAAAAAATGAGCGGTTGTGCAACTTGTGTTTGATTATTTCTTGTTAAGCTGCCATTTTGTCGAGAAATTGAAAAATTAGAAAATGGGTAACAAGTGTTGGTTGATGTACTTGGATGTAACTGAGGTTGAGATTGGATTTTTAGTTGACTGTGAGTAATTGCTCCATCTCTTATCTCTGTGTTGCACTGTCTGAGTAATTTCTTATGGAAATTAGCACCAATGATGCGAGTTATGTTCGACTATTTTCTCATATATTACAGTTTACGTTATGTTTTTATAATTGTTATAGCATTTAACTTGAAACTTGAACACGATATCAAGTTCCGCACCTGGAGTGCTTTTTCCTTTTAGCTACACACATATCAGGAGATCCGTTTGTTACTTGTGCCACACAATTATACTTATGATGAAAAAATGATCTCTGCTTAAAGTGCAACAATAAATTTTTCTTAACCAATATATATATAGAACATTTCTTTCTAAGTTTATAATAAGAAGCAATAGTCGTACCCAACTTGTATTTTCTGTTAAGCTATCACTATGACATTTTCTGTGCTATACATGATACACACAGGTGTGAGAACTCATGTTGCAGCTGTTGCACAAGCAACAGTTGAGGAAACCCCCAAAGTAGAAGCACCTATTGTAATAATAACAGGAGCTTCCAGAGGTATTGGAAAGGCGATAGGTTTGGCTATGGGTAAAGCTGGTTGCAAGGTCAGTAGGCTTATATGATCTTTCAATATCTACTCTTGTTATTGTATTCTTTAGGGTTCTCAAGAACTAAATGGGTAACCACTAGGAGGATATGTATGATTATGATATCTTCATAAATAGATAATCTGGTTTCGGACTTGCAGTGTTAATCGACTAATTGGCTTTGCTAAAATATCTGTTTCTTTTTCCTATTGAAGATTAGTGTTGAAATAGTAATATGTTTAGGGGCTTATGTGTAAGTTGTAGGGGCCTATATAAGCCCATCTTATCTCATGAATAAGATTAGGGTTTTCATTCTCAATATGGTATCAGAGCCTCCACAAAAAACCTAACCCTACCTACCCCTAGCCGCCGCCCCCCCCCCTCTTCTTCCCCGATCAGCTTCCAACCCCCCCTTGATCTCTGTCCGATCAGACCCTCCTCCCTTCCGCCTCCTGCAGAGCAGCCCCAAACCCACGACCAGAACTCCCCACGGCTCCAGACCCACCTGACCCCCACCCCCTCCTGTCCGCAAACCCCACGACCAGAACCCCAGACCACCCCGACCAGAACCCCACGACCAGAACCCCCTCCTCAACCCTAAACCCTACGACCAGAACCCCCCAGACCCGACCAGACCCCCCTGCTGCCACCTCCAAACCCTTTCCTAGCCGCTGCCACCTCAAGCCCCCCCTGCTGCGCTATGTCGGACCTAGAGTTTGGCATGGGTTCCCTTGACTCAGTCCTCGAACTGATGACAGGAAGAGTTTATATCTCACATCGATGAGATATATAACTGGTTTTGGTTCTTGTTTCCTCTGAGAAACGAGAATTTGTTTGAGATCCTACTCTTGTTGTGTGGCAGAGGTGCTGCCGAAATTTTTACTGCACACAACAAGCGTTGGAAGAGAAGGTGAACAGGCGGTGGGTCTGAAGCCTATTCGATGGAGGAGATCATCAAGAAGTTGAACCCCGCGGAGGTATCAACTTTGATGAAGCTAATGAAGTTGTCGGCTGGTGAGAGTGCGACAAAACCATCGAAGAAGTTGGAGCTTCCGACCATCGATCTGAAGCTTGATGGACCGAATACGTACCTGAGCTGGTCGCGACGGGTGAGATACATCCTTGCAGGGAGGAATCTGGAGGGTTATCTGACAGGAGAGGTGACAGAGCCGGAGGACTCGGAGAGAAGAGATGAGTGGAAGTCCACTCATATGTTGGTGTACATATGGCTTCTCAATTCATTGGTCCCGACGATCGCAGCCACAGTGGATGGCATTGAGAAGGTGAAGGACGTCTGGGAGAAGTTGAGGAGGACATATGACGGAGTCGGGAATAACCTGAGGGTATTCCAGATTAAAGGGGAGGTCGACGCCACAGTCCAGGGAGAGAGGACTGTACAGGAATATGCTACAGAATTGGAGCGTCTGTGGCTGGATTATGATCATTTTTCCCCTCGGGCTAGCTGCAAGGACCCGGGGTGTAAAGAACGGGAGGCCTTTCTACAGGAGAGGACTATGGTGTTTCTCAAGGGATTGACATCAGAGTTCGCTCAGCGAATCGCATTGCTACTAGCTCAGCCGAAGATTCCCACACTTGAGGAGGCTGTCTCTGCTATGATCCAGGAGGAGACTCGCATTCGGCTACAGGCGGGGACATGTGGACTTCCTGTGGTGAAGTCAGCACTGGCAGCCTCTAGCAGATCTAGGGGAGAGACTCGACAGTGCTACAACTGCGGCACGGTGGGTCATCTAAGGCATGCTTGCACCAAGCCACCCAAGGAAGGAGATTCGGGTGGACGTGTACAGTTCGGAGGTCGTGGTCGTGGCCGTGGGGGTCGACGAGGTGAAAGAGGAGCAGGGAATCGGGCGAATATGATGGTAGCAGAGGAAGGGGAAGCAACTGAGATGGTCTTTACTGAGGAGGACCATATGCTCCTGGAGATTCTTCGAAGGAAGCAGAGAGTAGCAGGAGATGGAGACAGAAGAAGTGGAACTGAGGAGACATCCAAAGGCAACTCTGCTACTTATGCTCATCCGATCAAATGTACGGATGACATACATGCTCTTGCTTCTATGTCTCCCAATAGACCATCAGAATGGATTGTCGACTCCGGTGCATCTCGACATGTGACGGGCAACGCTAGTGAGTTCTCGTCATACACTCACCTAGCATCAGCAGATAGCATCCAAACAGCTGATGGTACATTTCAGCCTGTGGTTGGTAAGGGTACTGTTAATTGTACAGGTTCTGTAACTCTGTCCAATGTTTTGCATGCTCCTTCCTTTCCAGTAAATCTTTTGTCCATTAGTGCTATTATCCTCCAACTAAAATGTATCGTTTCTTTTGATATTCCCAAGGTGATCTTCCAGGAGAAAGGGACAGGACGGAGACTTGGGACTGGCACGTGGAGTAATGGACTGTGGTACTTGGATCGTGAGGGACTGGACTCAGCTTTGGTGTCAATGGTAGAGAAAGCAGGAGTAGGATCTGAAATGAGTGCCGAGAGTGAATTGATGCTTCATCACCAGCGCTTGGGACACTCATCCTTTGGTACTTTAAGTAGATTGTATCCATCTTTATTTGAGAAAGCAAATAAAGAGAAACTTGTGTGTGATGCATGTAAGTTGGGAAAGCTTACTAGAAGCTCTTATGTTAGTTCTGATCATAGGAGTTCTCATGCATTTGATCTGATACATTCAGATGTTTGGGGGCCTTGTTCCACAAGTTCTATGAACGGATACAAGTATTTTGTTACATTCATTGATTGCTTCTCTCGCGTTACTTGGTTATACCTGATGAAGAATAAGAGTGAAGTGTTTGGCTGCTTTCAAAACTTTCATAGGAATGTTCAGACCCAATATGGAGCAGTGGTGAAGGTATTGAGATCTGATAATGGGACAGAGTACACCAACAAAGTGTTTGGAGAATACTTGTCATCTCATGGAATACAACACCAGACTACGTGTCCATACACACCAGCTCAGAATGGGGTAGCAGAAAGGAAGAACAGACATCTCTTAGAGGTTGCTAGAAGTATGATGATCTCCATGAATGTCCCAGAAACATTGTGGGGGCAAGCAGTGTTGACTGCAGCGGCGCTGATCAACAGAATGCCCTCGAGAGTACTGGATTGGAAGTCTCCGTGTGAGACATTGAAAGGAGATAATGGTGGGATTCTTCCACTGAAGGTATTTGGCTGTGTGTGTTTTGTGAAGGATAACAGACCATCCGTCGGGAAGCTTGCCCCTAGAGCGGTGAAGTGTATTTTTGTGGGATATTCTGCTACTCAAAAGGGATATGTTTGCTGGAGCCCGGTGGAGAAAAGGCTGTTCGTAAGCATGGATGTGTACTTTCGTGAATTTGAGCCATATTACACACAGAAGGTACCCTCATCCGTTGGTGACTCGCCCAATACTGGAAGTATGAGGCGAGAAGGGGAGAATGGTGAGAGGCAGATGAATAATGTAGAGAATAATATAGAGAAATCGATTTCTCTAACGATTCCTTGGGAAGGAGAATTGGTTGAGGAGGAGCAGGAGAATAAAGAAGAAGAAGATAAGGAGACAAGAGGTGTTAGGCCCACGGCTCAGGGGGAGCTACTTACCTATAGTAGGAAGGGGAAGCAACTTGCGGAAACAGTACCTACAGTGCCACTAGTGCCAAGTCCCTTATCAACGCCTGTCCCGACTCCTGAGACACCTACACCACCATCAGATTCCTTCCAAGGTGATATCAATCCTCCCCTTACTCCTCCCACACCAGTATCAGTACGGAGGACTACTCGCAGCAATGCGGGACATCCTCCCGATAGATATGGTTGGGATCTTGCCCAATTTATATCATATTCTAATATCCACCCATTCATTGCATCATTGGATTCTGTTACTGTACCTAACAATTGGCAGGTTGCTAAGAAGGATCCAAAGTGGAAAGCAGCTATGCATGAGGAGCTAGGAGCTCTTGAGAAAAACCGCACTTGGGAGCTAGTAAAATTACCAGAAGGGAAGAGAGCAGTTGGGTGCAAGTGGGTCTTCACTGTGAAGCAGAATCCAGATGGACAAGTTGAGCGCTACAAGGCTCGTCTGGTGGCAAAAGGGTATAGTCAGACATATGGCATCGATTATGATGAGACTTTTGCACCGGTGGCGAAGATGAGCACTGTTCGGACCTTAATCTCTCTGGCAATAAATGGTGGATGGAAGTTACACCAACTAGATGTGAAGAATGCATTTCTTCATGGAGATCTAGTGGAGGAGGTATACATGGAGATACCACCAGGATTTGGTACAGATCAGACAGTGGGAAAGGTCTGCAGATTGAAGAAGTCTCTCTATGGTCTGAAGCAATCTCCCCGTGCTTGGTTCGACAGATTCAGAAGGGCTATGATTGGTATGGGGTACCAGCAGATCAACGCCGATCATACCGTATTCTTTCGACGAAGTGGAGGCCACATTACCATGCTGGCGGTATATGTGGATGATATGATTATTACAGGAGATGATGAGAAGGAGATTGCCCAACTCAAAGTAAGACTGGGTAAGGAATTCGAGGTGAAAGATCTTAGTTTGCTTCGATACTTTCTTGGAATAGAGATAGCTCGAGGAGCGGAGGGAATCGTCCTATCCCAGAGAAAGTATGCACTGGATCTTCTCAAAGAGACAGGGATGTTAGGGTGCAAACCTGCAACTACACCGATCGACCAGAAGTTCAAACTAGGTGCTGAGGCCGGAGAACCAGTTGATCGTGACAGATACCAGAGGCTGGTGGGAAGATTGATCTATTTGAGTCACACACGTCCTGATATCTCTTTTGCAGTGAGCGTGGTGAGTCGCTACATGCACGATCCGAGGAAGGGTCATATGGACGCTGTGTACCAGATTCTGAGATATTTAAAGAGTGCCCCCGGGAAGGGACTGATATTCAGGAAGAATGGACATGTGAACATCGAGGGTTATTGCGACTCTGATTGGGCTAGCTGTGCTGATGACAGGAGATCCACCTCAGGATATTGTATCTTTGTAGGAGGTAACTTGGTCTCGTGGAAGAGCAAGAAGCAATCGGTGGTAGCGAGATCAACAGCTGAAGCAGAATATAGAGCCATGGCCTTAGGAGTTACAGAGTTATTGTGGTTAAAGAGTATGTTGGTGGAGCTGAAGCTGGATCAAGGAGCCAAGATGAAGCTGTGGTGTGATAACAAGTCAGCCATCAGTATCGCCAACAACCCAGTGCAGCATGATAGAACCAAACACATCGAGATCGATAGGTTCTTCATCAAAGAGAAGTTGGACAATGGACTACTGGAGTTAAGTCATGTTCCAACTAAGGATCAGGCAGCAGATTGTCTGACTAAGGGGCTTAGCTCAGTAGATATGATTAGAGGATGTGACAAGATGGGCTTAGTGGATATCTTTCGCCCATCTTGAGGAGGAGTGTTGAAATAGTAATATGTTTAGGGGCTTATGTGTAAGTTGTAGGGGCCTATATAAGCCCATCTTATCTCATGAATAAGATTAGGGTTTTCATTCTCAATAATTAGTATATTATTTTTGTTATTCAAATTTATCATAATTCCGAGACAGTTATTTTTTACTTTTTTATTTTTAGGAAGACACAAAATAGTAAAGTACAAAATCACAGTATAAAGGCGAAAAAGTACAAATCAATGCAGGTTTTTGTTAAGACACCACAAAGAAATTGAACCGAGTAACAGTTATGAGAGATCATGCGTGTAAGGGCAGTTGGTTTTTATTTTTCTTAATAAGGAGGGGCTTGAAAATTTCAATATAAAGGACATAATGAAATTGAATTAGATAATACTTTTAGGGACAAAGTGAAAATGCTTTGCTGCCGTGTTTAGCTATTAGTATGTATAACCCTTAATAAGGATTCCAATTGAATTAAGATCTGAACTTATTTTCTGATTTTAGTAGTCAAGCTTACAGTATTCACCATTAGGAAACTAAATGGGAAATAGTGGCAATATCTTGTTAGTTTAAGATAAACATTAATTAGAAAGGAGCTATGATATGATCGATCTAGAGCTTATAGTAAGATCCTTTAACAAGTAGTTTCTCTACGCTTCTTTGTTTTTATTGCTTCAGCTATCAGTTCTGCCTCCTGCATTCTTAGTGTTTTTTACGTTATCTCCTATGCATCTAACATGACGGATCTTGTCAACCTGATTCAGTGTGTACTACAAGTGCATCTGTTGTATAACTTTACATAAAACCAAATGCTGATCGTTTTCTAATTCTATAACAGGTCCTTGTTAACTATGCAAGGTCATCAAAGGAGGCTGAAGAAGTTGCAGAAGATGTGAGCATGATGGTCCTTCTTAGATGATTTCCTTGATTCGTTTTGAAAACTAATTTATCTAACACGTTAATAATATCATAGTTCATATTACATGCTGTAATCTCTGATGATTAAAGTGATCTTGCATGTGAGAACATGCTATCAAGCTGTCCCTTTATGAAATTCCTAAGCTCAACTTCATAAACTTCATGCATATTTCTATAGTATACCGGTGCAGCTTCCACTCGAGGAACCCAATATGGAATCAATAATTTACTTTAGTTCCATCAGCACTAACTGAAAAATCTATAACTTGTAGCTGACTCCATCATTGCAACTCATGCCTTAGTTCATTGGTGAGCAAGTTACAAAAACCCTGAATGAACTGTTTAAGAACTAATAGTGGATCAATGGACCATTGGGATGAAGGCTAATCAGTTAGTTATGCTTGCAGCTATTTTTCAGTCATCCTACTGTCAAATAGTTTTATTAGTAAATAATGCAGTGAGTTACTCGGGTATTCTTTTCCTGACTAATGGCAATGTCTTTCCTAGTAAATGATCTTTTCTTTTCTTTTAAATACTGGGAGGCTTTCTCTGGCTGCATGACTTTTTACAAAATTACTATTAAACTTGGGACATTTGTTTTTGACCGTGCTATCAAACCCAAAAAATATGAAGGTTAATTTAATATTAAGGGAAAAAACTGTATCCATCAAATAAACCATTTCTAGTCAATTAGATATACATTGTTATTCTATAAACTTAACTTGGAAGGTGCCCTAAATCATGTTTACAGATCATTTAAATAAGCAGTACTATGCTGATTGCAATATTTCGATAATTATTTTAAAGAACTGATAAGTGAATTTACATGGAATTTCATTACTCTTAAGGAAAATAGTTGAAAGTCAAAGTTCATCGATCTAAGCTCAGTTTCATAGCATTACAATGACAGTATGGTGTATGAAAGAGGTAAAGTTTCTCTAAATCTGGCTTGTGATACTAAATAGGTGGTTAGGGAATTTGACCTTGCCGTGAGATTCTTGTCAATATAAGCTTTGCTATTTTGGTCCTACTTGAGACAAATGGCTTTGTTGTAGATTGCATATAGCTTAAGTAACTACTTTGTTTTTATCCTTTTAGATTGTTCTTTATACTGATTATGTGTTTCATCTATGGTTATGCCACGTTACGCACCTAGCTTGAGCCTCAACATTTAAAATGTTAACATATTAAAATCTTCAAGATTTTTGGTCACAGATTGAGGCCTCTGGTGGTCAAGCCCTTACCTTTGGCGGAGATGTTTCAAAAGAAGATGATGTGGAATCAATGTTTAAAACTGTGGGTATACAGCAGTGCAGTGCTGAGAGTTCCTATAGTAAAAGTTGCATTTTTATTACATAATTGAAACTCACAATACAAAATACGATATTTGCAGGCAGTTGATGCATGGGGATCAGTTGATGTTTTAATCAACAATGCAGGTAGTTGGTGATATATTTGGATCTGTTTTACACTTCTACTACGCTTCTATTTATTTCTATAATCCAAAGTATTGGTGATTCCAGGCATTACTCGAGATACTTTACTCATGAGAATGAAGAAATCTCAATGGCAGGAAGTGATTGACCTGAATCTTACAGGCGTTTTCCTTTGTACACAGGTGAACCTTTAATTGATTTGAGACTGCTGTTTCATTATGTTCACAGCTGCACCCATTGGTTCTCTTACTGGTGGCCTATTCTTTTGCAGGCTGCAGCAAAGATAATGATGAAAAAGAAAAAGGTGGGTATATAACTTTTTTTCAATAGAAAAATTCCTCAATGACCCAAAATATGGGACAATAGGGGGGACAAGTGAGGTGTCCCCCTCCTATTGGATAATGAGTTAGCCATCATTAATGATGGCCAACTCATTATCCAATAGGAGGGGGACACCTCACTTGTCCCCCCTATTGGTCCTATATTTTGGGTCCCTGTAGCAAAGTTCTTTTCAATACTATCTTTTCACCTTTGAAGTTTACTTTTTCATGCCACTGACATATAAACAATTGGACTCGGTGAGCAATAGCTGAGCCAGAAAATTTTGTAAGTGTGGACAGTACCTAGCTGATTAAAATGCATGATTCAGAAGCAAAGAGAGCAAATCTTTACTGAGAAAGCAACAACTAAGAACAATTTTTCAAAACCGGCTGATTTTTTTTCTTTCAAAATCGACTGTTTTTTTTTTATTTATCAAAATCGTTAACCTGCTAATCACAAAACCGGGTCGATTTTGATAAATAAAAAAAACGGTCGATTTTGAAAAAAAAAAAAATTCGGTCGGTTTTGAAAAATTGTTCCAACAACTAATATCGGCAAAGAAATAATGAATTTCAGTAAAAATAAATTTTGGTGAAGTTGATAGAGTAATGGTCCAACAAAGAAAGTCTATTTGGTTTGCATACAGAAGAGCACTGCGAACCTAAGCACAAAATAATAATAATAATAATAATAATAATAATAAATGACAAGCTAAACATGATCTATTGCTTCAAAATAAGATATTTAGAGAATTGCTAATGAGGAGTTTTCAATATATGTTTTAAACGATTTAGTATGTTCGAATGTGGATAGTCTACGCCCAAAAGGGCATCTAAATAGCAAGTGTTTGTTCCTAGCCAGATAAAGGCAAGAGTTCTGTTATTAGTCTGTATTATTTCCCTAACATTTCTATTCTAAAAACAATGGAAGATATTTCCTGATATGATAGCATATGATCTTATGAGAGTTCTGATTAGAATTAAGGATAAAATATAAGAGCCAATAAACCACGGGTACCATCTATTCTGAATAAACGGAAAAATCTTATTACAAACTCTCTAAAATAAGAATCTCATTCACGTATTACAAGCTGAAATTTCCCAGTCTTCAACTTTGAAGTTTCAATCATGCGATGAAGAAAAAAGACGCATGAAAGAAGTAAAGTTATGACTCTGGTATTAGTATGTTCCTTTTACCAAGGAAAAGCAAAACAAAACTAACAATGTCCAGAACTTATTAGACACTATAGCTACTAGTTCTCCTTTTATTCTTCTTCACAAAAAACAAAAATTAGAGGTTCTCGTTCAATTGTCGTTTATTTATATGGAGAAAGAAATGTCATTATTTTCTCTTGTAAGGGTGAAAGGCAGAGGTTATAGATGGGAGGGGGTTGCAATGCACTTATAGCTAATCTTTTTGAGAAGAAAAGAATGAGTGATATATGGCAAATATTACATGATTGATGTGGTTATTCACGCCGATAAAAGATTCTAGTGGGTGCCTTGCAACATAAGAAGGTGAATTAACCAAAGCAGAACAATAACTTAAGGAGCACAGCAGTTAACCAAACCTGGAGGGGATAACAAGTTGTTAAAATATTTCTTTTGTACCCCGTTGAGGGACAAAGTAAAACTTTCCCATTTTAAGTATGAGCAATTGGCATACTTGCCGACGTTTTCCTCTACCTTTGTTGATGAATTAGAGAGCATTGCAATTACAATTGGTGTCTGCTTTTTGTTTACAAATAGATTTTCCATGTCAATTAAAGATGGCTTTTTCCCTATGTCTGATCAGTTTTGACTTTTGAGTGAACAAAAAGAATATTTAAAAACGTATTAAAGCAGAATAAGCTATTAACTATTCTAACAGTTTCAAAAGTTCTTTTTACTCTAAACTTATCAGAAAAATGTTTGCTTTCGATAAAAGTAGTATTAGGTAAATTTTCACTTATTCCTGTAACTTACATCTAGTGTAGTTGAAATATGTGCATATATCAAAGAAACAATACAGTGGGAAATTTCGTCGTATCAACTTCACCTTTTACTTCTTAATCTTTTCTTATCAGTTGATTGTTGTTTGTTCCAGGGTAGGATTGTCAATATAGCATCTGTTGTCGGTCTTATTGGAAATGTTGGTCAAGCCAACTATAGTGCTGCAAAGGCAGGAGTGATTGGTTTGACCAAAACCGTTGCAAGGGAATATGCAAGCAGAAATATTACGGTGATTGTCCTGATTTAATAATTTATTTAGTTAAAAAATAAACTTATATCTGAGGTAATAAGTAAAACGCCAACTCAGGTGAATGCTATTGCCCCTGGGTTTATTGCATCTGATATGACTGCGAAACTTGGAGAAGATATAGAGAAGAAATTCTTACAGAGTATCCCGTTAGGTAAGTATTTGGTTATTGTGCTTAAAACCAACTACATGCATCATTATTCACTTACAGGGCGTACTGGTAGCATTATCTGCCGAAAATTCATTCAACAAAAATCAAAGTCTAATTTAGATTATGGCCAAATTACTGAAGGGTTATAATTAGCTGAAACTCGCTTTTTATTAGAGAAAAATACCATGAACTTTTGAAACTGCAGAAAAATATGATGCACTATTGAAAGTTGTTGCGAACAGCGTTATGGTATTTTTTGTACAGTTTTTAGAATTCATGGTAGTTTTCACGAATAAAAAAAATATTTCTGATAGTTGTGCATTTTTTATTAACCCAATCGATGGGAGTTCTTGAACTGAGATATTGCATTCAAAAGATTTTCTTTTAGACTTAATTAATATATTTCTGCATTAGCTATTTTAGTAAAATTGCCTGCTACAACCCTTGTAAAAATAGTTATTTTCTTGTAGTACATTATCATTAACCATCGAAAACTTTTAAGTATTCTTATTTACATAATGCCTTTTTCAGGGAGGTTCGGTAAACCTGAAGAAGTTGCTGGTTTAGTGGAATTTTTGTCCCTCAATCCTGCTGCCAGTTACATTACAGGACAGGTAACTTTAGCCTTTGATCAATTGGTTAATTTCACAAAACTGCGCAAAACTTTCCACTAAACCCCAAAACTTTTCCCACCCAAAACCCGAAACCCCCAACACAAAGTGTTTTGTGGGAGAAGTTCAGAATAAACATAATTCAGAGGGGTTTTGAGGGAAGAGTTCTGTGGGTTTATGGGAATTAAACAGAGTGCAAGGGGGTTTTTGTGGAAATTTACACTTAACCATCTACCTTCTTGCCTTCAAAGTTGAAATATTGACATGTTTCTAAATAATCTGCAGGTGCTTACTATTGATGGTGGGATGGTGATGTAGGAGGCATACCGATTTTCTTACAGGAGATATATACCGGAACTGAAAGAATTACGCATGCAAATGATTTGATTCGGCTCTTCTCACTGATAGAAAACGGCTTATTCCAGACGGAAAATTCCGTCTGGAATAACTTAAATTCCGTCTAGAAAAATTATTCCAGACGGAATTCCGTCTGGATTACGAGTCCAATTTGTTTCCGTCTAGAATAAGTTATTCTAGACGGAAATTCCGTCTGCATTGTATTCCAGACGGAATTTTTTAGACGGAAAAAAAAACCGTCAGTAATTCTTTCCAGACGGAATGTTTCTGCCTGTAATAATTATTACAGACGGAATTTTTCGTCTGGAATTTACCGTCTGTAATAATTAATACAGACGGAATTTTCCGTCTCTGATACGTAATATCGCAGACGGAAAATTCCGTCTGGATTATTTAAAGCAGACGGAATATACCGTCTGGGATATTGGAAAACCCAGACGGAAAATTCCGTCTGGATTAATTATCACAGACGGAATTTTTTTCCGTCTGTGATAATCTATCCAGACGGAATTTTTCGTCTGGGTTTTCCAATATCAACCCAGACTTTTTTACATCCCAGATGGATATTTCCGTCTGGGATGTAAAAAATCCGTCTGTGATATATGAATATTACCCAGATTCTGACATATACACCTGTAAATCACACAAATTTCACAATTTTGCTGTAAATCACACAAATTCTCACACAAATACACCTGTACATCACACATATATACCCAGATTCTCACATATATACCTGTAAATCACACAAATTTCACATATATACCAGTTTACACATATATAATCACAATAACAAACACATATATAATCAACAACAAAAATCACAACAAAATCACACATATAATCCAATAAAAATCACAATACATATGTAGCACATAATCACAATAAAAATCACTTAAATTTGTAGCACAACTCAATCGGATCACTGTTTGTTTTGGTCTCAACACAAAGAAAGTTTTGATTTAAAAATTCGACAACGATTTACAAACCGATATCCAAGTCCACGAGCATTTTTTCTCTAGAGATGCTCAAAGAAACACATGCACCTGCAAGATAAAAAAGAAAGTGGCATTATTTTTAAGCAAATAGAGATCTAAAGGGATGCTATGAAAGTTACACATTCAATGAAAATGGAGTAGAAATCTTGAAGAAAAGTTATTTAATGGCATTTTAGTAATATTCTTAAGACCATATAATTGAGTTTTAGGGTTACACAGGCCTATAAACAACCCTGTTGACTATCATACATGCCCTCCTCCAATGTGTTTTATTGTGAAGGATGTGCTTTGAAAATTTAAGAAATCCCTATACAATTGATCTTGGGTAGAGCTCGATTAGATCTTTGGTATTTGAAGATGATAAAATAAGTTCTAGGAAAGAACCCCCTACCTACTTCAAGTGCGTGAATAACCTGAGTTGTGTGGTCATCTGAAAGCAATGTGGTGAATTTTTGACACATTGGCTAAATTAAGAATATTCACGAGGCTAACAACTTCATATTTCAGTTCAAGACCTCAGAGCGTTGGGCGATGAACACAATATGTTGATGCAAATGCAACAAAACACGCCAAAAACACAAGAAATATTTACAAGTAATTATCCTCGTCTGGAGTCCAATGGCCAAGGATGAGAGCTCTTAGATCAATGCAAAACAAGAAGGTTTGAAGTACTTTGGACATAATAAGCGAAACTTAACATATAATACGTAGAGCATATAATTATCCATGTTTTACTCAGCCTTGGATAATCAAAGAGAACTTATGGGCATATGGGTGGGGGGGGATAGAGATCCTCTACATTCTTGATTGTAAAGATTCTCTACAACTCACCAATCAAAACTCTTCACTTAGTGGACCCCATGAATAATATTTATTATCTACATAATATAAAAATATTTTTAATTGTAGGACCTGTGAGATAAGCCAATAGTATTAGCTCACCTAACTAAACATAGTATGCATTCTCTACATTCAAGATCGTAGAGAATTCAGGCCAGAAAAGAAAAGAAAGAAAAAAGAAAAATAGGCTGCAGCTAGCTAATACCCAGGTCAACGTGCTATATTTATATATATATATAATATATATATATATATATATATATATATATATATATATATAATATATACTTATATATATATGATATATATCACTGGTTTTAGCTCTCACAGTTACACGGGTCGAATTAATTGTTCCGTGTAGGGTGAAGTGCTACCCTTTAAAAATTATTAACACGCTTAAATCTAATTAATTAGGTAAAAAAAAACCAAGAATAGAGCAGATTTAGCTGTCTAAATTAACAAAGCTTGAGTAATTCTATTAAAAATCACAAAAAATGTATAAGAGGGCAAGGAAACCTGTGAAGTATTCAACTTATATTACAAAGGTATATCATAAGCGCATGCTTATCTATATATGCTTTAAATCTATACATGCTTAAATCTCCCTTTGCATGCAAATTCATCAGCTAAAACATTCACTTGTCAACTATTGCATGCATATGTTATCCTATGCCAACACATTTGTTTATATTTCTGTCTCACAGCAGTGAACTCTTTGAGGATCCTAATCATATCTATATATATATATATATATTAATCTATATATATATATATATATATATAATATATATATATATATATATATATATATATATATATATATATGTATAATATATATGTATGTATAATATTATATATATATCTGCATCGATTCCAACTAAAGCATCCTATGCGTATGGCTTCTAACTGGCAACAATTTTCTAGTGAGTCATGCATGGAGCTTTTTTTGGGTTGATAAGACTAAATATCCAAAATTGACATCAATTTGTCTCTACATACACATACACACAATACAATTAACCTACATTACCTCATAAAAGAATCAAGAGTCCATCATCGTCAAGTTTCCCTCTCTGCAGCCACATAACTCGCTCTGCGAGCTAAGTCCAGACAGCCTGAAAATTAAATAGATTTACATTTAGAGCAACTAAATTTTACAATATAGACATATATTAATTACCTCGTGGGCGCCAGCGTCTATAATTCTTTGGTGGCAAAACTTCTCCAATAATTCAGCTTTTTAAATCTTCCCCTGGACAAGCAATAAAACGATGTGTCTAAAAACATCGTCGTAGTAGGGGATGGAGAAAAATCTGAACACGATAGCCGTTATATTTTCTGCATGAGTAATGTAGGGCTCGATCTAAACCTGCGCAGATAACGGTTGACAGGCGCATAATTGTAGAAGTCGGTTGTGAGTTCTGTTGATGATGTATCGCAGTCGAGGTTGTCGAGGAACATGCCGGTGAGGATTTGTCTGGAGGTACAGTGGACCGCTGAGCTCTAAACCCCCATCAATGGGTATCTAACGCCGGTTATTATACCTCCATCACATTTCATGCAATGGCATTCTGTTCGCTCTCTTGACAAAACATGAGGGTCATTCATCACTTCTTGTGTACCACGTAGTCTATCCTTCGACGCGGCAATCAATATCTCCAAATTCACATCAGAAAATAGATATATATTGAATTGCAAATAATTGATTTTCAAGTTAAGAAACCAAAAGTTAGAACTCCTAATTAACTGAAATTACAACAACCGTAATAGTTAATTAATTTATGATTTGTTGAAAAATAATTAGCACAACACCATGTTCTTTAATCTTCTTCTCATCTTTAATGTATGAGGAAATGTGCCGTAAGCTACTGTTGCTTCAAGTAAACTCGGCATATCGCTTCCCTAACAAAATATAATTAGGAGAAATGTCGACGGAGGTTTGGCCAAATTGAAGGTTGGTTCATCATAGTGAATACATCAACTTTAAATATTATACCGTGTCTCGACCATCTATCTATACTCAAAGGTTGGCGAAACGAAATCGATGCCAAAGTGGTGTCAGCTTAGCGCTGCTAAATGTCGGAGTTCGTCGACCCTCTAGATTATCCTACAAAAATTACGGCGGTGTTAAAAATAAATGTATTACAATATGCTCATTAAAAAATCCCTGATTCTGTACTCATACCTGTGCGGACAATTCGTAATCCCACATAAAAAAGTAAGAGCGCGTGAAATGATCGAGAATCCACCGTCAGCTCATCGGAGATTTAGAATTCTCTGTGCCAGTCTGGGGTATATTATCCATATGTTGATATCTTCAGCTCATGTCGCCACTGTTTGAAGCACAGCCTCTAAACTTTGATATTGAAACATAGTGACACGCCGTAGGGTAAGTCTCAGACAATAGGTTTCTACAATTTTGCAATAGTAAAAATATAAGATATCTAATCATTTTGTAAACGTATTCTATATCAAAAAAAATTAAAGAAGTATATGAAGATAACCATCACTCTCTCGCATCTATTCCGCTGCGTATGGCGGACCAATGAACCCTTGAATTGGAAGTACGGGTTTATGATCTTGACCCCGCCGTACTAAAAAAACGCCGATGTATAGTTATTAAATTTTTTGGACCCACGGGCCGGGAATCGGCAAGTTATCAACCACTGTAAGAATTCCCCGCAAGCCTCTCGGTGCCCTGTTGGAATCAGCTTGCTTCCCCCACGTCCTTCCCGTCCATTGCATCTCGCCCCTTTGCTCCTACATTGACAGGTAGAAGTTACGTGATGAAAGGCGAAATACTAATGGCTCAAATTATTTACCTGTACCACTCGCGCACTTCTCTAATCCTTGCTTCATTGCAATTTGTTCT